CAGAGCGGGCGCCTCCTCTCCGCCGGCCAGGCGATGCTGGCCCCCCTCGCCTTCCTCCTGGGGCTGTCGCTCGCCCTCGCCGCCGAGCCCCCCAGCTGCGCCCCGCTCGTCCCGGTCACCTTCGACAATGCCACCATCCCTCGGGTAAGCCCTGCCCGCAGCCGGGGTGACCTCCTCTCCTTTCCTATCAGCATCGCTGGTCGTTGTGGGTGTGGGAAGGGGTTATGAACCCAACTGGCAGCTCAGTGCTTATCTCACTGCTGGTCCCTGCTTATTTTCCTAAAAAAAAATAAAAATGAATCGAGATTGCTGCACAGGAGCGTGGGGAGGGGGTGAAGCGTTGCAGTTCTGCACCCATAATCTCGGGAGCAGTTGCTTTGGGGGGGGCTCCTGCTTCCATCTCCCTGCGCAAACCAGTCTGGGCAGCACCATCCCCAGTGCTTCGCCACTCGATTTTAAGTCATTCGAGGGACAGAGACTTGGGTCACGAACCTCCATCCGCAAAACCCTTCACTGGATAAAGAGCATTTCGTCCCTTGGGGATATTTCATGGGAAGCAAGCAGTGAGAGCTGGGCACGGAGCAGGAGGGGCAGCACTGCAGAAACACGTTGGCCATGCCCAGGGCTGGAGCATCACCTTGTCAGGGAGGGGATGAAACCAAGAGCCCCTCACTTGGCCCAGATCCTGCCCAGGGCGGTCACCTACCAGGGGTGCTCGTGGCCGCAGGACAGCAGGGCACAGCGTCTGCTTTTACTCACAGGGTACCTGTGGGTGAACCCAACATGGGCCCCCCCAACCCTTCCCCGCTCCCCTTCTCTCTGCAGCTCCTGGGACACTGGATCTACATCGCCGGCTCCTCCAAGTACCCTCCTCACCTAGAGGAGCTGAAAGCGCTGAAACATGCGACTTTTTCCATATTTCCTGGCAGCCATGAGGACGAGCTCAATGTCACCGAAATCATGAGAATGTAAGGACAAATATTTGCCCCCTCACCCAGTTACCCCGTCCCCAGGGACATTTCCACCTGCTGATGCCATTCTCTGGGCAGAGACACCCCACAAATCTGGGGCTGGAGAGCAGCTAAGCCAAAGCAATTTCAGCTCTGCAGCCCAGCTCGAGTTCTGAATCCTGCAGGTTTGGTCGGGGCAGTTTGGGGGGGGGTTTGCTCCATCTGACCTCTCTGCCCCGCAGGAACGAGACATGCGTGGTGAGGAACACCAGCCAGATCCACATCTTTTGGCAAAACTCCACCCTGACACACGGTAAAGCCCCGGCCACAGCGCAGGGATGGGATGGGGAGGGGGACAGCCGCAGCCA